GACGCCTGCTGCTGTACATTTAGAGTTTGCGTGTCTCTCTCTCTCATCATCATCACGGTGGCTAGGAGATGTTAACTACCTCGCCTGGTGTACAGGAGGTCGTGGGTACGATCCCGACCCTGACGCCTGCTGCTGTACATTTAGAGTTTGCGTGTCTCTCTCTCTCATCATCATCACGGTGGCTAGGAGATGTTAACTCCCTCGCCTGGTGTACAGGAGGTCGTGGGTACGATCCCGACCCTGACGCCTGCTGCTGTATATTTGGAGTTTGCGTGTCTCTCTCTCTCATCATCATCACGGTGGCTAGGAGAAGTTAACTACCTCGCCTGGTCTACAGGAAATCGTGAGTTCGATCGCGACCCTATGAAGCCTGTTGTAGACTTGGAGATTGCCTCTCTTTCTCTCCGGGTAGCCTCCGTTTTGATTTCTGCCCTCCGCATTGATGTTGATATCGACAGCGACGACGACGACGACGACTGACAACTTGCGGAGTGTGAATCCCGCGCCCCATCTCTGGCGCTGCACGGTGGGGACCGTCCGAGATCTCGGTGGTTGCTGCTCGAGCGGGGAGACTCGCAAGCCGCTGCAGTGCCCAGTGCCACGCTCTTTAAATTGGCCACGTTTGAAATATCAAGCAGCACAAATTACCCGTTTGGGAGTCGCGCGTGGCAACATCGCCCCCCAACCCCCCACCAACTTCCTCCCACCACCCCCCCACCACCGCACCGTTTGCTCATGGCGAAACCGCGTCGATGATTCGTCGTGACGGGAAAACGGTCGGCAAGACTGCAATGCCCGCCGCTTGCCCCTACGTGACGGTGACGCCACCACGGCGCCTGTGCCAGGCTAGGTGCACTTTGAGGCCACGTGCTCGTGTCGACGGCTCGCTGCTGGCAGGAGGAGGTCACGAGACAGACACAGCAGGTGCCATGGGATGGCTGACTGAGATGACTGTTAGATGCACCAGCTGTTCACCCCCTTACTGTGCCAACTTGCTGCATTTTATCCGCCCGACGCTCCGCTCGTTGTTGTGAGCGTCGCTCCTCTGCCCGCTGTTGTTGTTGGAGTTGAAGGCCGACTGCCTCCAACTGCCCAGTAGCAGCGTCCTTCACGTGCCTCCTCCACAGAGGCCGATCTTGACACCGCTGCTACCAGTCCACTCAGCTCTACATCCTCCTGTACAGCATCAGCTCCATCTCTTCTCCAGCCCATGTCGTGCCCGTTAAGCTCCCTCTATTCGGCCAAACGGAAGCTGCTTGGCTATGCTTTGGCTGGGCATGCTGGCTGCATGACCCAGCCAACGCAGCCTTGCCTGCCAGAGGAGCTCACCGATGGGAATGTGTCCAGATCTTTCAAGGATTTGTGAGCTCCCCGCACAATCCAGCCCGGTTAAACCCAGGATGGATCGTAGGCAGGGCGAGCCTGAATGTTTATAACCGGCGCAGATGTTCCATTAGAGGGGTCCAAGTTTCAAAAGCGTAGAGAAGGGAGGGAATGACTGCGGCCGAGAAGACCCGAAGCTTCGTGCGGAGCGACAGACCAGGTAGCTTCCACACAGCGTTACGCAACCGATGAAAAGATATTGCCGCCCGATGGATTTGGAGTGAGACCTCTGCTGTCAAACCGGAGTTGGAACCGGCAAAGACACACACGCATACATACACACCCACACCCACTCACCCAGAAATATACACAAAGATCAAAGACTCCCCCCGTATCGCCTTGTAACAGCCTGCTTGGAGCGAGTGCTTTTAAGCTAGCAGCACCTATGAAGGCCGGCACGGCACGAACATCCCGCCTTTGTGTCCCCAGTGCTGATGTAGGCACACCGACAAACCAGGTACTTATTTAAGGCTGAGTCGACCTAGTGGAGGTCCAGGACCATGAGTGGTTCGTAGCGCAATGCGAGTTCGGGTACGGCTCACAGCCAAGAGACACACAGACAGAGACACACATACAGACACACAGACACACAGACACACAGACAGAGACATACATACAGAGACACAGACACACAGACAGAGACACACAGACAGAGACACTTACACAGAGACACAGACCCACAGACAGAGACACAGATACACAGACAGAGAAACAAACAGAGACACGGACACACAAACACACAGATACAGAGACACAGCCAGAGACACACAGATACACAGACAACACAGACACACAGACAGACACACTTACACAGAGACACAGACACACAGACAGAAACACAGACACCACAGACAGAGACACAGCCACACAGACAGCCACACAGATGAGGGGGGGGGGGGTAGAGACAGCGATAATGGTTATTTAATCCTGTCGGAAGCTGCCGAAACACACGGGTGGAATGGAAAGACAGGTGGGACGGGGAGGTGGGAGGGGGGAGGCAGGAGGTGGGAGGGGGAGGGCAGGAGGTGGGGGGAGGTGGTAGAGAGGGAGGAGGTGGGGGGAGGTGGTAGAGAGGGAGGAGGTGGGTGGAGGAGGGAGGGAGGGAGAGGGAGGGAGGGAGGGAGAGGGAGGGAGTTCACGGCTGTAAGTGAGGCTGAGGGGAGATGAGGGAGATGAGAGGAGCGATGGGAGCAGGTAGAGGGGGGGAGGTCACGAGGGGAATCGCAGGCGGCGCTGGCGATGACATCACGGTCTGGGAGCTCGCAGACAAAGCGGTGGGGGGGGGGGTGTAGGGGGGTGTAGGGGGGTGGGGGGGGTAGGGAGGGTGGAGGGGGGGGGACTCTGCTTGGCTGCTCTCACCATCGGGGGCACGAGAGGCGGCTACTGGGGAGGGAGTCAGTCGGAGTCTCTCGTGGGGAGGGATTCAGCGTGGCCTGGATCGTGCTGAGTCGCTATTATTGTCGTCTGTGGCACCAACAGAAGGTGGCTTTATAACGCTCGCGCGGGCGAGGCCCGGAATGCTTCAGGACAGGATATTAAACGGGCAATGGGCTCAGACGGAACGCCCTGACCCTGAGGGTGTTGATGGTGGAGCTCCGGGCCTCAGATCTGTGCCAGAAAAAGGCGTCGCGCGTTCACCAAAAATTCCCGGCGACTGTGACCCCCCCCCCCCCACCACCGCCCCCGAGTTTTTCGTGGACGTACGGACGGACGGACGTACGGACGGATCGACGGCACCAACGTTCCGGCGTGCGAGCGAGCTGAGCGATTTGGACGTTGGAGAGACGTTGCCCGACAAACGACCGACGTCTACCTGGGAACGTTTCAGTTCTTTGAGACATTTTTCATTCGATCAAAGTCGTTTCAGCAATTTCATACATTTTAGTTTTTAAAGCCCCCCCCCCTCCACCGCCCACCCCACGTGATGGTACGCGTCGCTGCCTTGCGATGGCACGGCGCTCGGGAGTCAACAAAACACTAATTGGGGGGCTCTGTGTCTCCCGTTGGGGGGCTCTGTGTCTCCCGTTGGGGGGCTCTGTGTCTCCCGTTGGGGGGCTCTCTGTCTTCCGTTAGCGTCGTCCCACCTCGCACATCTGGGGTGGGGGGTAGGTGGGTAGGCTGGGGGATGATAAATACTATAATTATCATGTTATTATCATCATTTTTTTAAAATTATTATAGTTGAGAAAATCCTGAGTGAGAGCGTCTCCAGGCTCGTTGGGTTCTTTATTTGGCATCGGTCCAGTGTCACACAGCCACAATCACAGGCAGAGACACAGGCACAGGCAGAGACACAGCCAGAGACACAGGCAGAGACACAGGCAGAGTCACAGACACAGGCAGAGTCACAGGCACAGGCAGAGTCACAGACACAGGCAGAGACACAGGCAGAGACACAGACACAGGCAGAGACACAGTCACAGGCAGAGACACAGCCACAGACACAGGCAGAGACACAGGCAGAGTCACAGCCACAGACACAGGCAGAGACACAGGCAGAGTCACAGACACAGGCAGAGACACAGACACAGGCAGAGACACAGGCAGAGTCACAGCCACAGGCAGAGACACAGACACAGGCAGAGACACAGCCACAGACACAGGCAGAGACACAGGCAGAGACACAGGCAGACACACAGACACAGGCAGAGACACAGACACAGGCAGAGACACAGGCAGACACACAGACACAGGCAGAGACACAGCCACAGACACCGGCAGAGTCACAGGCAGAGACACAGGCAGACACACAGACACAGGCAGAGACACAGCCACAGACACAAGCAGAGACACAGGCAGAGTCACAGACACAGGCAGAGACACAGACACAGGCTAAGACACAGTCACAGGCAGAGACACAGCCAGAGACACAGGCAGAGACACAGGCAGAGTCACAGCCACAGGCAGAGACAGAGTCACAGGCAGAGTCACAGCCACAGGCAGAGACACAGACACAGGCAGAGACACAGCCACAGACACAGGCAGAGACACAGCCACAGACACAGGCAGAGACACAGGCAGAGTCACAGGCACAGGCAGAGGTGGCGGAGGTCACGGCGAGTGGAGTGAAGCCGCCACGGCTGGTGGTGGATCCTGTGAGCTCGTTAATGATTTCTTTATTTTTCTTTCCATTCCTGGGGTTTTTTTTCCCTCCACCCCGTCAGTGCCTTTCCATCCCCCGCACGGCTGCAGCCAAAGGCACCGACCTCCTCCTCCAAACTCCGAACTCCGAGCTCGTGTGGACGAGCGTCTTCAGACGTTACCCCCGACGACGTCACTCAAACTACAGCCGCCCCCCCCCCCACACCGCACCGCCAGATGCCGAGGGTCCCTCCCCGTGCGGCAGGGTCGGACCCTCGGCACGGTGTCCGACGTTTCGCTCCGTGTGGGGCCTGCACGGAGCGAGACCGGAACCGGCTGCCATCGTGAGTGCCGAAGGAGCCTCTCCGGCTTGAGGTGGCCGTGGGCGGGGAGAATCCGCGACGTCTCAGGCCAAAGAGATCGGTGGCTTTGGGGACCCCCCATCATCCGCACGGCCTTCTGCGCCGATGTATTCGTCTGCGTATTTACATTGTTGCTGTTGTAGTTGTTGCTGTTGATGTTGTTGTAGTTGTTGTTCACACCTCGCTGATCTCGACAAGGAGCGAGAAAGCCATCACCGCAGCCGTCGAACCGATCCGGCGGGAGCTTTCACGTCGCGCTCCCGCGGCCGTCTGGAACGCTCCTTCCCTGCCCATGTTCGGAAGCCACGGGGAAGCTGGCGGGTTCTTAACCTTAACCGCAGCCTTGCACCCATTTGGTTATTGATCGTTTAACAAGAAAAAATTGTGCAATGTTAATAGACACATAGGGTTTGACGAAACAAAGGAAGTTGTAAATTAACGTGGCCGTGCTTAATTTGCGCTTTCGATGATTTACCTTCGGACATAAATCTGGCCGCGTCTCGCCCCCCCCCCCCCACCCCCAGCAAGGGCATCTCGCACCCCCAGTGGGTGCAGCGTGTAGCGTGCACCCCCCCAGGTCAAGAGAAAGAAGATGAAGCACTACTCAAGATTGACAAAGTTATTTCTGTAGCACTCCTTTCCTGGGTTCAGGTTCCTCGTCCCTCCCACGCACCTCCGATTAGCGCGGCCGGCTACGTACGGTGAGAAGGAAAGTTTAAGGCACGCACAGCGGTGGGGGTTGCGCGTGGAATGCGTCTTTATCGCCGGACCACCACCACCGCGCCCCCCCCCCTCTCTCCCCTCTCTCCTCTCTCTCTCCCCTCTCTCCCCTCTCTCTCCCCTCTCTCTCCCCTCTCTCTCCCCTCTCTCCCCTCTCTCTCCCCTCTCTCTCCCCGCACGCATTCCATGGCTGGGCAGCCGCAGAAGGCAGCAGCCGCGACTTCGCACAGAACGCCTTTCAACGATCGGACGTTTCATTTATTGTTCTTAGCCGTCCCCGAATACAGGGGGGGTGGTAGATGGTGGGGCCCCCCCCCAAGTGAGGTGGGAGGGGTCGTCAAACAGGAGGGAGAAGGAGCGGGAGCTACAGTGGTGGTTGTGGTGGTGGTTGTGGTGGTAGTGCTTGTGGTGGTGGTGGTGATGGTAGTTGTGGTAGTGGTGGTTGTGGTGATGGTTGGTGGTGGTTGTGGTGGTGGTTGTGGTTGTTGTGATTGTAGTGATTGTGGTGATGGTTGTGGTGATGGTTGTGGTGGTGATGGTTGTGGTGGTGGTTGTCATTGTGGTGGTGATTGTGGTGATGGTTGTGGTGATGGTTGTGGTGATGATTGTGGTGATGGTTGTGGTGGTGGTGGTTATGGTTGTGGTGGTTGTGATGGTGGTTGTGGTTGTGGTGGTTGTGGTGATGGCTGTGGTAGTAGTGGCGGTGGTGGTGGTGGCGGGGGAGGCAGTGGGGGAGGCGGAGGGGGTTGCCGACCGTGACGAAGGGCGAGGGGTCACGTGAGGGTACGGTGGGGGGGGGGGTCCCATGCCCCCCCCCCGAGGTGTTGGGTTCCTCCACCGCCCTCAGAAGCAGCGACCCACGGCGCGTGGTTCGCCTGGGGGGGGGGGGGTGGTGGGGGTCGCCTGCCCGAGAAGAACCCCCCACAGCCGCTGCTACTCATCTCCACGTTGTCCGGCCCTGCTAGAGCCGGCGGTGGGTGGAAATTCCACATTCGTATGACGGGGGGAGGGAGAGAGAGGAGGCAATCCGTAGGACAAATCAGTACTTCTTCTTGGTTCTTTCGGTAAAGTCACGTAGAAGGGAAGTAATAAAATAATAAAAATAAAACATAATAAAACAATTCTCACGACGTTTCGGCCACAACGCAAGCAGACAGACGCTGTCGCCTCGACAGACCTGGTTTTCACCTGAGGACGGCTGCTTGCATTGTGGCCGAAACGTCGTGAGAATTGTTTTATTATGTTTTATTTTTATTAATTTATTACTTCCCTTCTACGTGACTTTACCGAAAGAACCAAGAAGATGAATCCCTGCAGTCACGAAAGCTTTAAATCTAAAAAAAAAAATCGGTATTTGTTTTATCGATTCCCCCTCCCCCGGGAGGTGTAATGGGCTGAATCACACCCCCCCCCCCTGTCATCCCACCCTACAGGGGGCAGTTGTCCTATGGAATAGACTCGTCCTCGCCATAGGAATGTGGAATTTCGTCCACCGGCTCAGCACCAACGCAGGATGCTTCCGCCGCGGCGTAGCGACGAGGACTCTGGACGGTTCGATTCCTATCTCCTGGCGCGGCAGTTCGGAGCAATGATGGCGAGTTTCTTAAATCCCCCCTCACTCCACCCCCCCTCCATCAGCACCCTCTGTCACGAACTCTCTCGGCCCCTCCGATTGCGAGCCGCTCGCCCTCCAGCGCTCCCCAGAACAACGCCGCCAAGCAGCCAGCAACGAGCAGCAGCGTTAAAAGGGTCGACGGTTCACGCGCTGTATATGTCGGGCACACATACAACACACGCGTGTCTTCAGTCCAGCGAGAAACCCCCCCCCCCCCTACTACATGTGTAGTAGCTACTACATATGTAGGATCGGGAGGATGAGGATGATGGGGAGGACGAGGATCGGGAGGATGGGGAGGATGATGAGGATGTGGAGTAGAAGGAGGATGATGAAGATGGGGAGAAGGAGGATGAGGATGAGGATGATGAGGAGGATGAGGATGTGGAGGATGGATGATGAGGAGGATGATGAAGATGTGGATAAGGAGGATGATGATGAGGAGAAGGAGGATGATGATGATGAGTAGAAGGAGGATGATGAAGATGGGGAGAAGGAGGATGGATGATGAGGAGAAGGAGGATGATGATGATGAGGATGATGATGAGGAGGAGGATGATGAGGATGGGGAAAAGGAAGATGAGGATGAGGAGGAGGATGATGATGAGGAGGAGGATGATGATGAGGATGGGGAGAAGGAGGATGATGATGAGGAGGATGAGGAGGATGAGGATGTGGAGGATGGATGATGAGGAGGATGATGAAGATGGGGAGAAGGAGGATGATGATGGGGAGGATGGGAAGAAGGATGATGAGGATGGGGTGAAGGAGGATGATGATGAGGAGGAGGATGATGATGATGAGGATGATGATGATGATGATGAGGAGGATGAGGAGGAGGAAGCTGCCACGTGGCTCTGGCTAAATGGGCTGACGTACTCTTCGCATGACGTCGACACGGTACACATTTATGTAATTGCTATTATTTCCAAATAAAATCGTTTCTCCGCGGTGGTGGTGGCGACGGCCCCCGCCGCTACTGCTCTGACCTCTGTGGGCCCAACCCGTGCTACCGCTCTGACCTCTGTGGGCCCAACCCGTGCCACCGCTCTGACCTCTGTGGGCCCAACCCGTGCCATCGCTCTGACCTCTGTGGGCCCAACCCATGCCACCACTCTGACCTCTGTGGGCCCAACCCATGCCACCGCTCTGACCTCTGTGGGCCTAACCCATGCCACCGCTCTGACCTCTGTGGGCCTAACCCATGCCACCACTCTGACCTCTGTGGGCCCAACCCGTGCCACCGCTCTGACCTCTGTGGGCCCAACCCATGCCACCACTCTGACCTCTGTGGGCCCAACCCATGCCACCACTCTGACCTCTGTGGGCCCAACCCATGCCACCGCTCTGACCTCTGTGGGACCAACCCGTGCCACCGCTCTGACCTCTGTGGGCCCCATCGGTGCCACCGCGCTCCTCACCACGCCCATAACTCCCAACCCACGAGGAAGCCCCCCGCCGTGCCCTGGCCGTCACCCTGGCGACGCCGGCTGCTCGTTAACCACCCACCCACCTCTCCCTCTTCTCGCGCTCTCAGCCCCCGCAGGTTAGAGTCGCGAGGGAGCGGGGCGGCAGGCCCAGGTGACGATCCAACCGCTCGGAAGCCGCAGCGAGCGCCGCGAGCGACTCTCGCCCGGGCGAGACCACGCTCGCCGGGGGTGACGCGGCGACCCGCTCGCCACGCTCCGCGGCCTCTGCTCCCTCGCCGTCCGCCCGGCCGGCCGGAATGTTTTTCTGACCTTCCCGTCGCGGGTCGGATTGGTGTCGACGGCCGGGGCTGACGTCGTCTCGACGGCCGCTGTGCGGCGATCGCCATGGGGCGATCCGTCGCCTCGAACCCCGCGCGGGAGCCTCCCCCTCCGCGCTTCTGTCGTCAACGACGCCGTCGACCCCCGCGGCACCTTCACCGACGCGTCGCTGACGCATCGCTCTCCGCGCGGGCGACCCACGGACGGTAGCATCGAAGCAAAACGCACGAACTCGTCCGGCCGACATTCGCCGGGCATTCAAAACTGCAGGGCACTGCCTCCGCCGTAGAGCCTTCGCCGGGACGCCGGGTGCAAGCGTTCGGTTCGCGAGCGCCCACCAAGGGGCGGCACGGCGACTCGCTAACCGCTGAGCCACCCCCCTCCACCCCCGACGCACTCAATATTACTAACGCCCCGCACGCGCGTGCCAGGCTAGGTGCACCTCGAGGCACGTCGCGTGACGTTGCGGGGGGCTCGTCCGCCGGCAAGGAGGATGCCGCGGGACAGAGCCGGCTGGCGCGGCCTTGGGCACCGCCGTGATGCACGGCGATGATGCTCCAGCTGCGCACGCACGCGGGGGGAGGGGGGGGCAAGGGGAGGGGCGAGGGGGCGAGGGGGGGGGTCACGCGTCTCACCTCGAAGGCCTCCTCGTCCAGGATGCGGGTGCCGAAGACGGCGATGCCGTTGACGTCGATCCGCGAGCCGGCCAGGGAGCGCGCCAGTGGCCTCGTCACGCTCCTCCGGCAGTCCAGCGTCAGCGTCACATTCTGCCCGCGCACGCTCAGCGCCACGCGGTGCCACCTGCCGCGGGGGTGGGGGGGTGGTTAGTCGCGGGGGGAGGGGGTGGAGGGGCAGGTGAAGAGGGGCAGCCGGAGGAGGTAATGTTGGGATTCAAAAGTGGGGGAAATGGGGCACATTGCCGATTTTGCCACATTCCGGATTGGGTCACTTTGCCGATTGGGTCACATTGCCAATTGGGGCATTATGCCGATCGAGGAACTTTGCCGATTGGGTCACATTGCCAATTGGGGCATTTTCCCGATTGGGGCACTTTGCCGATCGGGGAATTTTGCCAATTGGGTCACATTGCCATTTGGGTCACATTGCCGATTGGGTCACATTGCTGATTGAGACACATTCCCGATTGGGGCATATTGCCGATTGGGGCCCATTGCCGATTTGGTCACATTTCCCGATTGGGACACACTGCACCATGAGACTTCCCCCGTGACGTTCTTTGGTGTTGAACAGAGGAATTGCATCGGAAGGTTAAAGACGCCGGGGCACGGCGGTGCGACTGTGGCCATGCAACCCACAGCTACGGAGCGCACGGCGAACCCACTGTGGTCGTCTGGGCTCGTTCAACGCAGGAGGAGGAGGACCAGCGACATGACACGAACTCTGTCTGTCTCTCTGTCTGTCTGCTGAAGCCCTCTCGTCGTGACGAGCAGCAGCAGTCGCAGCAACAACACCTCCACATTGACGTCTCACTCTGGGACATTTCTCCCTCTCGTTTTACTACATCTATCTCACTACAACTCTATCTCACTACATCTCTCCCGTCTCACTCCACCTCCATCTCTCTCAGGTTTTTTTGGTAAAGTCACGTAGGTAAAAAATTTAAATTAATAAAAAAAATAAAAAATAAAAAATCACGACGTTTCGGAGGCAACACAAGCTTCCGTCTTTTTTTTTACTATTTTTTTTTAATTTGACTTTTATTAATTTAATTTTTTTACCTACTTGACTTTACCGAAAAAAACCTAGGAATATGAATCCTTGCAGTCACGAAAGCTTCAAATCTAGAATCAATCTCTCTAGTCTCACCGCACGCCATCGACCCGCCTCTCGCCACATCTGCCCCTCGGTAAAGAAGAACGACTCCCCACACAATCCGACGGCTCTCCCCCCCCCACCCCCCACCCCCCACCCCCACCCCCCACTCACTTTCCGTCGGCCAAGTTGAGCCCCTTGAAGATGGGATACTCCTCTGGGGGCGGCAGGCCGTGCTGGTCCTCGTAGAGGAACACGGGCGAGCGGCCCACCTCGAGGCCCAGCTGCTGCATGCCCTGCTCGCTGTAGAGCGAGAGCAGGAAGGCCTGCGTGCCCTTGCGCGCCCGCACCGTCAGCACCATGGAGAAGTCCACGGGGAACTCCGAGTCTGCGGTGGGGGGGGGAGGGGGTGAGAGGTGAGAGGTGAGATGAGAGATGATAGAGAGATGCGAGCAAGTGTGGGAGAGAGAGAGATGAGAGAGATGAGAGACAGAGATGAGAGATGAGAGAGATGACGAGAGAGATGAGAGAGATGAAACAGATGCGAGTGAGCGTGGGAGATGAGAAAGAGAGAGATACGAGCGTGTGAGAGAGACGACAGAGAGAGATGACAGAGCTAGGAGAGAGAGATGAGAGAGTGAGACGAGGGAGAGATGAGAGAGTGAGACGAGAGAGAGAAGAGAGAGATGACAGAGCTATGGGAGAGAGATGAGAGAGTGAGACGAGAGAGATGACAGAGCTATGAGAGAGAGACGAGAGAAAGATGAGAGAGACGCAAGCACGAGCGTTTGCGGGAACATCCACGCCGAGAGGGGCGTGGGGAATCAGGGAGGGGGGGGGGCAGGGAGACAAAGGTGGAGGAGGGTGGGGGGCCCGACTTGCACACCGCGAATTCAACGCGTTCATGGGGGGCCATTGCCGGCCGATTTGCTCTTTTCCGTGCCACGCAAATGACGAAGCGTGCCACGGTGAAGGTTCATCGCCCGAAACGTCGCCCGTGATAGTATATTCCTTTAAAATGCCACGCACGCACGCGGCGTTGTTGTCGACGCGGAACGTGTTGACCTGCTGCTGTTGTTGTTTGTTGTTGTTGTGCACCACTGACCAACGCAGCAGCAGCAGCAGCCACCAAATCGTTTTTTCCCCCCCACAACTTTCGAAGCGCTCGCGAGAGGATCACGTGGAGTGGAGGAGCGGGGAGAGGCGACCACTTCCGCAGGCGACGCTTCACGGCGATGAAGCGGTCAGGGATAGTCACAGAGAGGCAGCCGAGGGATGGAACGAGTGCGGGAGGAGGGGGGGAAGAGGGGGGGAGGAGGTGTGAGGAGGGGGGGAGGAGGGGTGAGGAGGGGGGGAGGAGGGGGGAGGAGGGGGGGCATCCCCCGCCCCCCCTCCACCCCTCCACGGAGTGACCGCACGGCAGCGAGAGGTGGCGACGGGATTGGGGAGGTGGGGGGGCGCCTTCATCCAGCAGTGGATCGACCGTGGTCGGCGAAATTGTATCGTCTCGTTCTCCTCCGGGGCAGTCAATGGGGGTGGGGGGGGGGCAGAGGGCAGGCAAAGGGCAGGCAAAGGGCAGCTCTAGGGGTGCAGGAATGTGAGGCACGGGAGGGGCGCGTGGCTGGGTGGAGAGATTGCCAAGAGCCGTCACTGCCTCGACTCGTGAGCAGCTGACGAGCAGCAGCAGCAGAGGAGGGGAGCCTCACCCACTCACCCACCACCCAGCCCACCACCCACTCACCTGCTCACCACCCCAGCCCACCACCCACTCATCTGCTCACCACCCAGCCCACCACCCACTCACCTGCTCACCCCCCAGCCCACTACCCTCTCACCTGCTCACCCCCTTGCCCACCACCCTCTCACCTGTTCACCACCCAGCCCCCCACCCTCTCACCTGCTCACCCCCCTGCCCCCCACCCTCTCACCTGCTCACCCCCCTGCCCCCCACCCTCTCACCTGCTCACCCCCCAGCCTCACCACCCACTCACCTGCTCACCCCCCTGCCCACCACCCACTCACCTGCTCACCACCCAGCCCACCACCCACTCACCTGCTCACCCCCCAGCCCACCACCCACTCAGCTGCTCACCCCCTGCCCACCACCCACTCACCTGCTCACCACCCAGCCCACCACCCACTCACCTGCTCACCCCCCAGCCCACCACCCACTCAGCTGCTCACCCCCTGCCCACCACCCACTCACCTGCTCACCCCCCAGCCCACCACCCACTCACCTGCTCACCCCCCTGCCCACCACCCACTCACCTGCTCACCACCCAGCCCACCACCCACTCACCTGCTCACCCCCCAGCCCACCACCCACTCACCTGCTCACCCCCTGCCCACTCACCTGCTCACCCCCCAGCTCACCACCCACTCACCTGCTCACCCCCCTGCCCACCACCCACTCACCTGCTCACCCCCCAGCTCACCACCCACTCACCTGCTCACCACCCAGCCCACCACCCACTCACCTGCTCACCCCCCAGCCCACCACCCACTCACCTGCTCACCCCCCTGCCCACCACCCACTCACCTGCTCACCCCCCAGCCCACCACCCACTCAGCTGCTCACCCCCTGCCCACCACCCACTCACCTGCTCACCCCCCTGCCCACCACCCACTCACCTGCTCACCCCCCTGCCCACCACCCTCTCACCTGCTCACCCCCCTGCCCACCACCCACTCACCTGCTCACCACCCAGCTCACCACCCACTCACCCACTCACCCCCCTGCCCACCACCCACTCACCTGCTCACCCCCCAGCCCACTACCCCCTCACCTGCTCAACCCCAGCCCACCACCCACTCACCTGCTCACCCCCCTGCCGCCCACCCACTCACCTGCTCACCCCACAGCCCACCACCCACTCACCTGCTCACCCCACAGCTCACCACCCACTCACCTGCTCACCCCCCAGCCCACTACCCCCTCACCTGCTCACCCCCCTGCCTCACCACCCACTCACCTGCTCACCCCCTAGCCCACCACCCACTCACCTGCTCACCCCCCTGCCCACCACCCACTCACCTGCTCACCCCCCAGCCCACCACCCACTCACCTGCTCACCCCCCCTGCCCCCCACCCACTCACCTGCTCACCCCCCAGCTCACCACCCTCTCACCTGCTCACCCCCCTGCCCCCCACCCACTCACCTGCTCACCCCCCAGCTCACCGCCCTCTCACCTGCTCACCCCCTTTCCCACCACCCACTCACCTGCTCACCCCCCTGCCCCCCACCCACTCACCTGCTCACCCCCCAGCTCACCAACCTCTCACCTGCTTACCCCCCTGCCCCCCACCCACTCACCTGCTCACCCCCCAGCTCACCGCCCTCTCACCTGCTCACCCCCTTTCCCACCACCCACTCACCTGCTCACCCCCTTGCCCAACACCCTCTCACCTGCTCACCCCCCAGCTCACCACCCTCTCACCTGCTCACCCCCCTGCCCACCACCCACTCACCTGCTCACCCCCCTTGCCCACCACCCTCTCACCTGCTCACCCCCCAGCTCACCACCCTCTCACCTGCTCACCACCCAGCCCACCACCCACTCACCTGCTCACCCCCCCTGCTCACCACCCTCTCACCTGCTCACCCCCTGTCCCCCACCCTCTCACCTGCTCACCACCCAGCCCACCACTCACTCACCTGCTCACCCCCCTGCCCCCCACCCTCTCACCTGCTCACCCCCCCACAGCTCACCACCCTCTCACCTGCTCACCCCCCTGCCCACCACCCACTCACCTGCTCACTGTTACTACCGCGACATTGCACGGCCGTGACTGTGGACACTGTACGCCAGCGTGTCCGTCTGTCTGACAAAACATCTAAGTTGCTAGGGAGACAAAGGCGGCCGGGCATGGTGGTGCTGGCCACCCATCCTCCTCGCCTGCCGCAGTGCGGGCCTTCGTAAGGTGCTCGCTAACAGCACTTGCCCCAACAGTCTGTGAAAGCTACACGAAGAGGGTGGGTGGGTTGGTGGGTGGGTGGGTTGGTGGGTGTGTGGGGTGGTGGGTGTGTGGGTTGGTTGGTGGGTGGGTGGGGTGGTGGGTGTGTGGGTTGGTTGGTGGGTGGGTGGGGTGGTGGGTGTGTGGGTTGGTTGGTGGGTGGGTGGGGTGGTGGGTGTGTGGGGTGGTGGGTGTGTGGGTTGGTGGGTGGGTGGGTGGTGGGTGTGTGGGTTGGTTGGTGGGTGGGTGGGTTGGTGGGTGTGTGGGTTGGTTGGTGGGTGTGTGGGGTGGTGGGTGTGTGGGTTGGTTGGTGGGTGGGTGGGGTGGTGGGTGTGTGGGTTGGTTGGTGGGTGGGTGGGGTGGTGGGTGTGTGGGGTGGTGGGTGTGTGGGGTGGCGGGTGTGTGGGTTGGTTGGTGGGTGGGTGGGTTGGTGGGTGTGTGGGTTGGTTGGTGGGTGGGTGGGTTGGTGGGTGTGTGGGTTGGTTGGTGGGTGTGTGGGGTGGTGGGTGTGTGGGTTGGTTGGTGGGTGGGTGGGGTGGTGGGTGTGTGGGTTGGTTGGTGGGTGGGTGGGGTGGTGGGTGTGTGGGTTGGTTGGTGGGTGGGTGGGGTGGTGGGTGTGTGGGGTGGTGGGTGTGTGGGTTGGTTGGTGGGTGGGTGGGGTTGTGGGTGTGTGGGTTGGTTGGTGGGTGGGTGGGGTGGTGGGTGTGTGGGTTGGTTGGTGGGTGGGTGGGGTGGTGGGTGTGTGGGGTGGTGGGTGTGTGGGTGGGGTGGTGGGTGTGTGGGTTGGTGGGTGTATGGGTTGGTTGGTGCAGTTCCACATTTTCCTCGTAGCAAAGTAGCTACATATGGCTACGCGCCCCGCACTTTCAAGGTCCCCGCGCTGAACGCTTTCAAGCTATCAATTGCGATCTTTGCTTTGAAGCTTTCGTGACTGCAGGAATCCATACTCTTTGGTTCTTCCGGTAAAGTCACGTTAGTAGAAATAAAATAAAATGAAATAAATCACGACGTTTCGATCGCAACACAAGCGATCTTCATCAGGTGGAGCAACCACGGCAAGAAAATTGCTGAAATAGGTGAGAGAGTTGCCGTGGCAAGAGGTTATATCGGTAAGAAAGGAGGGAGGCAAGTGGGGAGAGAGAGATTCTGCACTTGCTCTATTGCTATAGTACTACACCGCCTTCAACTTGTATGAACCACTGGGTGTTTAATTTTAGCCATTTGTCGTATTATCTGGCTGCGTAGCAATTGAACATATACAAATACTTTACTGTGCAAGTTAAACATTCGTGTTTTAATATTTAAGTGGCTTTATTTATTTATTTAGGGCCCCTTTATAACATCATGTTACCAGCCCCGCACTAGCTTCACCCGGCAGCGGTGGGCGGCGAGGGGACCGCTGCCTCTGCGCCTTCCCGTGAGCGCGCCGAAGC